CCTTTGACAAAATCGCCGACAAAAGCACCGCTTTGCTGATCTTTTGTTCTATAATTCTTAATGCAAACACCGACCCTAGTAGTAATTAGTAACGTCGCCTAGTACATATGAACGGTCGTCATTGCAAATCGAACATCCTTTTGAAATTTGGACGTCGGGCAGGCGATTTCAAGGCACCGCACTTAAATATTAGCAACATATTTTTCTGAGCGGTTGTTTATTCTCTTTCAAACGAGACATAAATGTGACGACATAGTCGATCCCTTATCCACCGCTAAGAATGCCGCAATGTTTCGTTCGTTTTGCAACATGCCACAAATCGTCGAAAAAAACACCACTTCGACGGAAGCTTGCGTAATAAGGGGGTTAAAACAAGAAAACAAATGCCATGTTTAATACATATCGACCTGTTTTACTTGCGAAAGATAACGGAACATGAACTCGTTTCGTGCGACTTCGGAACCCGAAGGAACACACCAACAACGTTGAATTTACCCGCTATCTTCCAAATATGGTATATTAATTTATTCAGTTGTTTATTTAGAGTGACGTCCGCGGTCGAATGCGATTGGCTATCGATGTCAGTGCAAAGGTCATATGAATATTAAAATTAAGTGGGCGGAAGGAAAATTGTATAGGAGACAATCTGGAGTCTCGTGTGGCGATAGCGATAACACCGGGACGAATGGTCTGGGGTATGATTAAACATTAATAGCAGTATGAACCAAAACGTAAATGGTATTCCTAGCAATACAGTCATATTGCTGAAGCTATATAAATCAATATGTCAATTTATTTACTTACTGGTATCTACAGATCACTCTCACCCCAACTTGTGTTGCTTCTTTTTGTTATCGTATTTCACAGGTTGAGTCTGTTTTCGAGAGATTGCCACCAGAGAATGAAACTGAATCCGAGCCAGAAAAAGAACAATCAACTTTTCAGAGTGAGTTACCAAAAAGAAAGTTATTAATAATAATATCACTTTCTGTTTATTTGTGTGTGCACTCTTTCCTATTACATTTGTTTCTTGTGTGTTTGTGTGTGCACTCTTTCCTATTACATCCTGTTTCTTTATCACTGTGTTCATGTAAAATTCATGTTAAGGTTAAAAATCATTAAAAATTTTGTATTCTTTGTTTTCTTAGTTCTTATTTCTGGAAACAGAACAAGTGAATAAATAATTGTTGTCAAATAATTGTCTTCTCATTAATCATAATCATCATCTGTATTAATCATTTTACTATTGTCTCTCTTTGTGTGCATTTTGTAACACATCGGCAATTGGCGTCCTATTGACAGTCACTATAGTAATCCCCAAATTCTTGGGTCAAGTCAATAATAATGACTTCTGAATTACTTGGTTTTTTTCTTTTTTTTACTTTAACAAAATGTACTGTTTTTTAAAAAATAATTTTTGAGTCAAAATTTTTTCCATAAAAACAAAATGTTATTACCTCCAAAACTGCAACCATTTTCAGTTAACTCGACTCCAAAACTTCTATAATTTACCGGGGTAACCTATTTTGCTGTATAGACACAGGACTAACTGGCTGATGTGTTAGGATGTGTGCGTATAGCTAAGGTAGTGTTTCTGGTGTATTGTGTATTACAGAGCTTGGAAGTACCATCAGTAGCTTCTTTTCAGGCTCCAAGAAAGAGGATACTGAGGCACCTGTAGAGGAGGAAGAAGAAGAGGATGAGAAACCAAAACCACAAGAGGTACAAACATTACTGAACATTGATAGATAATAGCCTCAGAAAATAAAATATTAATGTTTGTCATCGTACTTCTCAGTTGAAAATGTGCACACCATATCATTTTTGTTTTTTTTTCATCAGAATTTAAGAAAACATAAAATAAAAAAAATAATTTTCAAAATGAATTATAATAAAGACGCATTCTTAGCATTGCTGTAGACAAAGTTGAGAAGAGCTTCAAGGGGGTTTATTTCTGTTTTTCTATTTTATGATTTCACGTAATGCATTTGTCTGTAATGTATTTTATGTTTTGTCTTTTCAATACAGTACCCTTTGATGGTACTTGTAGAGAAATCAAGTTATTATTCATAATATGTTCATAATATTATTACTACTGATTCTTCATTTTTCCATGCCAAAACTGTGATCGTAAATAAATTCTTCTGATGGTCACCTAAAATATTCTAGGAGGAAGAGAAAGAAGAGGCTGCAGATGAAAAGGTTGCTAAGGAAGATGAGAAAAAGTCAGAAGATGAAAAAGAAAGTGAAAATGAACCTAAAGAGGAAGAAAAATCAGATGATGAGAAAGATGAAACTAAGGAGAACGAAACAAAGGAGGACGAAACTAAAGAAGATGAGAAGAAAGATCAGGAAAAGGAAGATGACAAAACTGAGGTATGTTTTTAACCAACCTTCATGACATGTTGTTTGAGACTACAGTGAGACTTGGACATGCCTCATCCGATCACATTCACCAATCCATTTTATGATCCAATTCAAGATGACTGAATGGCAGCCATATTTGTACTAACAAACACATGAAAATCAAGCATTTCTGCCATTGGTAGTGTAGGGACAGATTTTGTTCAAAATTATTACATACATTGGTCATTTTTCCAATCATTCAAGATGGCCGCCATTTTTATAAAAACTCAGTATTATTGGACAATATGGGATTCTAATGCATTCTGTTTTATTTAATCAAAAGCAAACTGGCCGACTGGTTGTTATCTTGTTTTAACCATTGCTGTTTGTGTTCAAACTGAATGCAATTTCTTGTGATATAATGTCTTATAAATGGGTTAAAAACATTGTTCATTTTTGTTTATGCATTTTAGTTTATGCTATTGAATCCTTCCCAGTAATCCAATGTCAATAAAAACAAATAGATGCAGGGTCCATTTCTTTGTGTTGAATATCAGGGATATAACATTGCTTGCTAGCGCAGGTTCTCCCATTCATCTCGACTGTTCATGGAGGCAATGTATTAAGATATGACCAAAAAAAATCAAATAAACTGCAAACGTTAAAACCGATAGCGTACAGTTGATTCACATGCCTTCATGTTTTGTGACCACATTTAATGTATTCTTGTACTTGGTATGACATTCTGGTCATGCCGCCTTAAAATAAACGTGTAAATAAAATAAAAAATATTGTTATACATCTGTCACCATAACACCATAAGTTACAGCGTGTCGTAATTTTGTGGTATTTTCATTCTACCATATAAGGAAATGCAAATTCCAAATATGAAATGATCACGTGCGTAAGCGTCCTCTAATAATAAAAACAAACATGGCTGCCACCAGGGTTTGACCGGACTCCACACAGAGAAGTTCGCTGATTCTGTTCTAAACCTTTTGGATTTTGGCATTCCCATGATGTATCATTGGAAGGAAAAAATGTATAATAATAAGGTTATTAGGAAAATACCTCAAAGTATGCACTCGGACAGTATGCAGCACATCGACCTCCGCTGCGCATACTTTAAGGTATTCTCGCAAAAACCTCATATTAACAAGCTAAACACCAAGTATGGTAATTGATTATTACTAGTTACTGTGATCATTGAATGCGACAACGTATTGTTTCTAGTCATTTTAATCAGGTTATAAAAATATCTGGACATCATTTAAATATTGTGCTTATTATACAAACCACTTAATTACCAGTAGGCCTATTATTTGGCTCACAATATACAAATTTAATTTTTTGTAGGAAAAAGAACCAGACACAAAAAGTGAGAAAGAAGAGAAACCTGAGGAAAAGGAAGCAAAAAAGAAGCCCCCTAAGCCAGTGACATTAAAAGAAGAAATCAAGATGGAAGTGTCGTTACTTGATTTACCAAATCCCTCTAAAGAATCTCGGAAACTCTCTGTTGGCAAGTAAGTACTGATATCCCACACAACTATTTTGATTGAGTCTCTGTCAGTGGCTTTGGACTTCCTTTGTGGTGGAGTCATCCAGGGAAGTGATTGTCCCCTCTGTTAGGATTTTCAACCATAGGTGGGGTTTGAACTACTTACCTATCATGTTGCCAGTAAAACCACTAAGCTACAGTGATCTCTTCATTCACTAACAGACATGACTTCAACCTTTTCACCACCAGTTCCCTCTTTTCATCACAAATTCACAAAATAGTCTCATTTACAGTCTGCACTTTCCTTCAGAAGATTGGGACAAAAATGGCAAATGTTTTTGTAAAAAAATGAAAATTTATCCAAATTTTGTCTGTTGGCGTCAAAATTAGGGTACATTTCTAGAAATATTGAAGAATATAAGAAAAATTTGCAGCAAATTTTGTTTGAGAAAGTCTGATAATGAAAAAGGTTGAAAGATCCTTGGTTATAATGCTGAGTCTGGTTGTCATCGTGATTGCAAATTTAAATGATAACATTGTGTATGGAAGGTGGTCACATAGTCCTAAACACAGAATATGGTTTCCATGACAAAATGCACTGTAACTCCTCTCAGTACTATCAACGAGTCAGTGACAATCAATGTAACTATGACATGATATGTTCACATAGTCCTGTCACATGTTGTCTCGTATAAGGATCTGTGGCAAAGTAAGTACCCTGCCATATTTGTTCTATTACCTGGCAGTAGCACATGCACTTACATAAATTACAGATTTTTTCATGGACAAAATAATTACTGTAAAATCTGTATTAGAAACCGCGGATTCTTTTAAAATGATACAATGCATCAGAGGGAATGCGGTTTCTATTTAGAGCATCTACACATATAAGAAATGGTGAATTTTTAGTTCTCAATTATTCAAAAATAATGGGCGCGACTTCTATTAGGGATGCGGCTTCTAATACAGTTTTTACGGTACTAGTAATATTTAAATGATTTAGTATACAGTCATTGTAATTTTTGATTTGTGCGTTTCTATTGGAAATATGCTTGTACAAATACAGTATGGTATGTTAGCATAGGGAGACAACAGAGACATTCAATATCAGTGACTGTCACTTAGAGATTATTATTTATAGCTGAATGGTAAAAAGTGATATTTTCAACTTGTTAAAAACCGCAAAACCGATTACTTTGATGTTATACATAGACCTCTTTAAGATTTGTTCATTTTCTAATGATATCTTCAGTTCTTTAATTGAAATGTGCATTTCTGACAGCGGAGCTATCTCAGCCAAGAGGCTGCTTGTTTTTAAATAAAAAAAAACTAATTACTACACATTATACAGTAAAATTAAGATAAGACCTCTATTTGGATGGCTGCTATTTTACCTTAATATTTGAATGAATACAAATTTTGACTTTTGTGATTTTTCACAAAATATCGGGGTAATCCTAATTGGAATTTATATTCATTTGTCCCAAGATTGACAAAAGAAATAAGAAAAATAAATAAAAATTTACAAAATGTTGGTTAGAATAATTAATGTGTTTTTGTTTGCACACAGACTTGAGGAACTAAAAAAAAAAGATGAAGAAAAGGCTGAGAAAGAAAAAGCAATGAATTCTTTAGAATCGTTTATTTTTGAAACTCAAGACAAATTAAGTCAAAGTGAATATGAGAAGGCGTCCACGGAAGAAGAGAGAACTGAGTTATCTGGAAAACTAAGCGAAGCTTCTGATTGGCTGTATGAGGATGGCTATGATGCAGATGCAAAGGTTAGTTTTCAAAATTCTAAATTCTATTACAAAAGGAAATGTAATTTAAATATTTATGAAACTTTTTTGCTTCAAAGCAATACTGTATTTTCTCTTTTAGAAGTACTTCTCTATAAATGCATACATGCTTTATTCCATTAGTAACTTTCTTTTATTTTATAGTATTAGTTATCACAACTTATCTTTATTGCTATTTAATGATAGAAAATTAATATTTTTAAGGATGCAATAAACCAAAATTTTTATTGCCGTATACTAAATAATTAATTTAAAAAATATTATTTTGACCACAGAAAGCTACAAAAAGGTTTCTATACATTTTCAGGCAAGGTAATAAAATGCCCAAATTATGTCTTGTTTGGTATTTGTTCAGGGCTTTCTGTGGACAAAGAACAAAAACACAACAACAAAATGATCAGTTTGATGACATTTTTACTTTTGTCGCTAAGTACTGTAAAATACTTTATTTTCGCTTGGAATTGATTTTCGCTGAAGACATTATTCAGTGAAAATGAAATTCAGCGAATATAATTTTTTTACTTTATTTTACATTCAACTAGTCAAAAATCAGTGAAAATTAATTCCATACAAAACACCAAAAAAGTCTTTTCAGCGAAAATAAATCCCAGGTAAAATAAAGATTTTTACAGTAATAAATTTTCAGTCCATACAAACATTTTACATATTATTCAGTTGTATAGTACCGGTATAACTTTTTTTGTTGAAAGACCATAGATGCCAATGGCTGGCAAGTTTTTGTTGGAAACAAGAGTCATATGACTTGTTTTTTTCCCTTGAATAGTGTGAAAATAGAACACTTTTTGGAGACAAAAACTAGTCTTCTGGTTCTCTTGCTTTTAATATTTGATTTTGGCAGCTATTTGCATACACATTAACTGCATAAACATTCTCAAACCACTAGAATGCTTATAGTCAACTTATCATTTCAGGTTTTTAAAGAGAAATATAAAGAATTGAAAAAGCTTTTTAAAGAGTTGTTTTTCCGGGTGAAAGAACATCAAGAAAGACCTCAGCTAATAAAACGTCTTAAGGAATCTCTTAATGCTTCAACACATTTCATCAAAGTAGCCAAAAATCTAACATCATCCGGACTGGATGACACATTCACGGAAGTAGAAATGGAAACACTTGAAAAACTTATCAATGAAACGGAAGTAAGTGAAATTTTTGCTATATTTATGTGGTTGATACTGAAGAACAAGATATAAGTTGTTGTATCATGTGAGAATGTTTTTATTAAAGATTCAGCAGGGATAAAAAAAAAAGGTCAAAGCAGCATCTCATGTTGTCATGATTTTGGATCAAGTCACAAGGGGAGCATTTGTGATTGGTTAAAGATAGTGTTAAGGTCAAAGGTTACAGTTCAATGATAGTGTGGGTCATTGGCTATAGTTTAAATGATAGTGTTGGTTACAGTTCAATGACAGTTTCTGTGGTCAAAAGTTGAAGTTCAATGAGTGTTGGTGATCAAATGTTGCAGTTCAGTGACAGTGATGGTGGTCAGATGTGCTAGTTCAATGACGGTGTTGATGATCAAAGTTCAATGACGGTGTTGGTGGTCAAATGTCCTAGTGCAATAACAGTGTTGGTTGTCAAATGTCCCAGTTCAATGATAGTCTTGGTGGTCAAATGTCCTAGTTCAATGACAGTGTTGGTAGTCAAATGTTCCAGTTCAATTACAGTGTTGGTGGTCAAATGTCCCAGTTCAATGACAGTGTTGGTAGTCAAATGTTCCAGTTCAATTACAGTGTTGGTAGTCAAATGTCCTAGTTCAATGACAGTGTTAGCAGTCAAATGTCCCAGTTCAATGACAGTGTTAGCAGTCAAATGTCCCAGTTCAATGACAGTGTTAGCAGTCAAATGTCCCAGTTCAATGACAGTGTTAGCAGTCAAATGTCCTAGTTCAATGACAGTGTTGGTAGTCAAATGTTCCAGTTCAATTACAGTGTTGGTGGTCAAATGTCCTAGTTCAATGACAGTGTTGGTGGTCAAATGTCCTAGTTCAATGACAGTGTTGGTAGTCAAATGTTCCAGTTCAATTACAGTGTTGGTAGTCAAATGTCCTAGTTCAATGACAGTGTTGGTAGTCAAATGTTCCAGTCCAATGACAGTGTTTGTAGTCAAATGTTCCAGTTCAATAACAGTGTTGGTAGTCAAATGTTCCAGTTCAATGATAGTGATGGTAGTCAAATGTTCCAGTTCAATGACAGTGTTAGCAGTCAAATGTCCCAGTTCAATGACAGTGTTGGTAGTCAAATGTCCCAGTTCAATGACAGTGTTAGCAGTCAAATGTCCCAGTTCAATGACAGTGTTGGTGGTCAAATGTCCCAGTTCAATGACAGTGTTGGTGGTCAAATGTCCCAGTTCAATGACAGTGTTGGTAGTCAAATGTCCCAGTTCAATGTGACAGTGTTGGTAGTCAAATGTCCCAGTTCAATGACAGTGTTGGTAGTCAAATGTCCCAGTTCAATGACAGTGTTAGCAGTCAAATGTCCCAGTTCAATGACAGTGTTGAAGGTTAGTAAGAAGCATCCTTAACTCCTGGTTAATTATTACATTACAGGAATGGAAGACCACAAAAGTAGCAGAGCAAAAAAATACTCCAAAATCTGAAAAACCAACACTTCTCACAGAAGACATCAAAGAAAAGATAAGTGCACTGGACAGAGAGGTTATGTATCTACTTAACAAAGCAAAAAGAGAAAAACCAAAGAAAGATAAAGAAAGGGCCAAGAAAGAAAAAGAAAGACTTAAAGCTGAGAATGAAACTAAAACAGAAGAAGAGATTAAAATAGAAACGGGCGCTGGTAAGAAACTTGTTAAACTGAACATTAAAGACAGAGAAAATAGCTAAGCTGTAGTATTCAGAATACTATACTGGTATGTCTGTAAGGATTTGTACAGTCCTGGGATATACCGGAATGTACTGGAATTCTAACGGTGTCCTGGAAAATGTGTTTTGAGGCCTGGGAAGTCCTGGAAAATATACAGTCAGTGTACAAAGCCATTACTGTTGCAAAGTGGTCAATTGAATTCATTATTAAAATATAAAGAAATGGATCGGTTAGATGATCAGCATCAGATATTAGCATAAGTCGGTGGTTCAGTAATAAACCCTTAACAAATTACCAAAAGTTGTAATGAAATTGTCCCGGAAAACTGATGAAAAAAAACATCTTGGAAAGTCATGGAATTTAATTTTAAGGTGTGTATGAACTGTGGTCTGTGAAGGAACAGAGTTCACTTTAGATTGGATGCTGTATTGTGGGATACTTTGATAAAGACCCAAGTAAAGGTATATGTTTAAACCAGGCCTGTCTGGCATGTGGTTTTAACCATGCTACGGTATTTGCTCTTTTAGAATTGAATATTTAAAAAAATCACAATTGTTGTATACTGAAACATTAAAATATCTATTATGACCATAAAAACACCTCTGTAATTTAAGTAAGCACATGTACTACTAATAAAACAAATCTGGTGATTTTCTGTGACAATCATGAACAGTTAGTATATTTGAAATTACCGGTACTACTTTTATAAAGCATCTGTAACAAGAAAATTTATATACAAAAAAAAATCTTGTAGACATTGACTTTGAAAATAAAGCAGTCTATCTATCCATCTCAACCTAATGTCTGAAAAATAACTATAATATAGTGTAAATGTTGTCTTTTTCTGACTTGTCATCACAAAATTTGAAATATTGGATTTTCTGTCATTGCAGAAAAATCAGAAGATGAAGATGCACAAGTAGTAGATGAAGGAGAAGAAGGTGTGTGGCCGATAGATGCACCAGATCCGAGAGACGAACAAAATGTTGACGGTTAGTATGAACTCAAAATGGGAATTTGAACCAAAATTTGTATAAAACAAATTCGGAATAAGGAATTAACTGTAAAATAGCGTTTATGATTACAAGATCTCGCTAAAACTAGAAACTGTGATTAGTTGTGAATCACAAGTACAGAATAAAGCCAAAGTATGAGAACTTTGCTGGGATATAAAGTCTGACTCATGATAAAATGTTTTGGCTGAATGTCATAAAAAGACAACATGATAGTGAAAAATAAAGTAGCAGTATCTATGTTTTTTTGGTTTAAATATAACATAGAGATGATCAAATCTCACCAAAATATTATTTTAGACAAAACTGCATGATTTTTACAGTACATCATGTTTTTTACATGCATTTCATTTAGGATTCAATTCAAGATGGCTGAATGGTGGCCATTTTAATTTTAAAAATTCATCAAAATCAAGCATTTCATATGCATTTTAGTTTTGTTTGTTTATTGCACAATGGGGGACTGTCTACTGTCTCGACTTGACCTGTTATAAAAAAAATTTTATTTTATTTTATTAATCTTATCTCCCTAATTTCTGAGTCGCCATCCTCTGGTATATTTTATACTTTGCGTATCACTATTTTTATCCATATGATGACGTTGAGGGCAGTATAGCCTTAGATATACTTGTACCACTGCTTGCTAATATTGATTACCAATTTCATCTTCTGCTCACAGGTGACAAGGAAACCATAGAAACCCAGGAGGAACTTCCAGAGACAAATGAGACTGTTGAAAATGAGAAGGAAGAAGAGGAAATTTTACAAATTGACTCACCAAATGAAACAGGTTAGTTGTTGAAAACTCGGTCACAACCAATTCACTACGTTCAATTACCCACCATAGACTCCGGTCAGTCAAAATGACTATTTTGAACTGTAGGCATTAATCAGCGATTCTGCCGGTGACGGAGAGATAGAATCCAGGTCAGGGGAAGCCCCATGACCTCAAGATTCTTTTACCCCTTACGTCACGAACCCACGTGACCGAGGCCACCTGGCAGCGCCACAGGTAGCCGTCCTTCACTCTTAATTTCTCTCCGCCTCGAGTGGAGATGAAATCTAGCGAGCTCTGCTGGATTGCCTGCTTTTTTTCCTGTCCGGATTTATAGCTTGGGTTGTTGCCGCTGCTCGGCATCCGACATGGTAGCTGGTAGGATAAGTTTTCCTTGTCTTTTTTTACCCTCGTGTCGTTTTCCCCTTTGTGTGTAGTATTTTTCACAGCAAAGAAATCAAAATCCGGCGCCACTACGTAGTCACATGTTGATTTCATGGCGGCACCTTTTACAACTGTAATTCGTCTCCCTCATGCATGTCGTCTTTTATTTTTAATGTATTTAGCAATATATCGATGTAATGACAGCTCCAAGGCTCGCTGCCTTTTTCTTCCGGTCTCCTAGTCTTCCAAGCCGACCGTACAGTGGTTTATTCAGAATCTACCAGCATAGAACCCGCATCC